TGAATTCTACAAGACATTTAGAGAGGAACTGCTGCCACTACTGTTTAAACTCTTCAATGAAATTGAAAGGGAAGCAAAACTCCCAAATTCATTCCTGGAAGCAAGCATCACCTTGATCCCCAAAGCTGAGAAAGACCCAACCGAAAAAGAATTATAGGCCAATCTCACTAATGAACATAGATGCAAAAATCCTTAATAAGGTAATGACAAACAGAATGCAGAAGATCATCAAGAAGATCATGCACCCTGACCAAGTGGGATTCATCCCAGTGATGCAGGGTTGGTTCAACATACACAAATCAATAAATGTAATACACTATATCAATAGAGCCAAGGACAAAAATAATATGATCATCTCAATAGATGAACAAATGCATTTAACAAAATCGAAAATGCATTTATGATTAAAAAAAACTCTACAAAATATTGGAATAGATGGTCTCTACCTCAATCTGATAAGAGCCATCTATGAAAAACCAACAGCTAATATCATACTAAGGGGTCAAAAACTGAAGTCCTTCATACTAAAATCAGCAACAAGACAAGGATGTCCACTATCACCACTCCTGTTCAATATAGTTTTGGAAATTTTAGAGACAGCAATTAGACAAGAGAAAGTAATGAAAGAAATGAAGATAGGAAATGAAGAAGTCAAATTGTCATTATTTGCAGATGACATGATTCTCTATATAGAAGAACCTAAGCACTCCACCAAAAGTCTTCTAGACTTAATAATCAAATGCAATAAAGTAGCTGGATACAATGTCAACACACAAAAATCAATAGCTTTCCTCTACGCAAGCAACAGACTCACTGAGAGAAACAGGGCAAGCATCTTTTCACGATAGCATCCAAAAAACTGAAATATCTAGGAATATCTAAGAAAAGAATTCAAAAAACTTTTTTCTCAAAATGATAGCACTCTGAAAAATTAGATTGAATATGATATCAGAAAATGGAAGGGCTGGTGATCTAGCTCAGTGGTTCTGTTACCTGCCTCGCTAGCACAAGGTCCCGAATTCAATCCCCAATACCAAAAAAAGAGGAAGAAAATGGAAAGACATCCCTTGCTCCCAGGTAGGAAGAATCAACATTGTGAAAATGCCCATATTTCCAAAACTGCTACATAAATTCAATGCAATCCCTATTGAAATTCCAGCAGCATACTTCACAGACTTTGAGAAAACAATCCAAAAATTCGGTTGGAATGAGAAGAGACCTAGAAGAGCAAAAGCAATTCTAGGCAACAGAGACATGGCAGGGGGTATCACAACACCCAACTTAAAACTATACTACAAAGCTACTGTGATAAAAAACAGCATGGTACTG